TCGATTGATTGAACCACTGAAAGGAAAATATAACTACTATAACTTAAAATATAGTTTTTTGATAACCTAATATATATATATATATATATTAAAACTAATATTAAGATTAAGAGTAATTATTTTTAAATTATATATGCTTAATTAAAAATTATCAATTGAATATAAAAACAATAATCAATTATTTTTTACATAATATTAAATTAAAATAAATTTAAAAGCTTGGAAGAGATTAAGAAATTAAAATGACAAGAAATCTCCGTAAAAATCATAAATAGAATATAGTACATGATAAATTTCAAGAAAAATAATGCTATAAAATAATTATATTTTTAAAAAAATTAGCCTCATTCGATGAGGATAATTAAAATCACTTTAAAAGCAATATGAATTAATTCACAATCTAAAGAGAAAATTCAGTCACCACTTCATCCATTAATAGATTTCAACTAATTCCAATAACAAGGTAAGAGTGTTTATAGGTGAAATTGAAGACCCCTATGTGGGATTGAGCAAGCTTTTACAGAGTGGGAGTAATTCTCACCAAGATGTAGTCAATTTCAATGGCGGAAGAGGAGGTGTTTCGGTGCTATGGATCAAAGCTTTGTTACTGACAATATTTCTAATGCTAATAATTGAAGACAAAAGCTCAGAGGCGGAGACAAAAACGTGGAAGGAGTGAAAGTCGAAAATACCCTTGTTCATACTTATTTTTCACATTCAATGTTTTATAGATTTCATGATAAGGATAATATTATATCTTTTTTAAAAGTTTTAAAGTAATATTATTTCAAATAAGAATTTAAAATATCAGGTGGCCCTCATTGAATTTTACGAGATATACAAAAATAGAGAACTCACTCATTTCATTATCTCATTGTTTGTGTACCATTTTAAATTTTCTCTTTTTCTTTTCAATGATTTTTCTTTTGAAATGCCAACCAATTTCGAGTAAATCAAGTTCGGTCGGATGGAATTTGAAATTGAAAGTCACAGTAATAAAATCAACAAGTTAAAAGGGAAGTTTATGATAGTAAATGTGATGTGCAATATTGACTTTTATGTTCTATCCAAGTTAATTAATTTGCCCGCCGGCCTTCTTTCAGAAAGTTATTATTTTAGCTATAAATAAAATATTCAATTATGAATAATTATATGTCCTTTCGATTTTTATCATTTTATGACAGTTGCTTGTAAAACACTCCCTCGTCCATTTTATAAGAATTTTTTATTGTAAAATTGTGAATACTGATAAAATCAATTAAATATAATTTTTAATCTTAATTTCATTTAAAAAATTATATAAATTCAAAAAATAATATTAATTTATTTTCGTTATATATAAATTTAATATCAATTTTTTCATAATGTTTATAAACAATTGTTTCAATATAAAATATTAAAAATACTTTAAAATTAATTTAAAATAACAGCGATGATCATTTTTCGATGAAATGGCAATCCAAAGGTTGATGAGTTAATGCCTCTTTAGTTGGGAGCAAATTTAGCAAGGAGAAGACTATCTTTTGTAAAAGATTAGTTAATTCAAAATTATTGATAATAAATCATTTTAACTAATAATAAAGCCTGCTTTGAATTCAAATCAACGTTTTTTTCTTTTACCTTTTCATTTGTCAACCAAAAATACCAATACAGTTAAAAGGGGGGGGGAATCGCATCAAAGATTTCCCAACAGTTTTTATTATGAAAAAGAACCAATTGATTTTGAAATTTCTCTGCATAACAAAGGGATCTAAGTGCAATTAAATTAGGCAGCAAAAAGACTAAACTATCCCTGAGTTTTTTAAAATTCCTTGATTGCAATTCCCCCCCCCAAAATAAAAAACTATTCTTTCTTTCCCAAATTATAAAACTCTTTTAAATAAAATTATGTAGATAGATAAAGCTCATTTCTTCACATGAAAGTTGATTCTTCCTTTAACTTTGTTCTTAATTTGTTATCTGATATTTTTTTTTAAATGCTTCCAACAGAGAAAAATAGAAAAAGGAGACTCTCTTGTTGAAAGTTGTTGTGCCCAAAAAATTAGGTATGGCTAGCATAGGGTATATGCACAAACACACATCCCTTAAGCATTGACCAAGAAAATTTTAATTTAATATTTTAATTCATTTGAAATATGATTGGAAATCACAGTAACATTTTCTACATAAATAAAAAATTCCTAAACTTTTTGTAGAGATTTCGGTAAAACTTTCTTTGTAAATATGACCTCTTGAATCTCTACAAAAACCATTTACAAATAAATTAATAATATGGAGCTTTGCTTCTCGACAACAGATAGTGAATATAAATTTACAAATCAGAATCACATATATATTTAATGTGGAGCACCTAAATTATCAAAATAAAGCACATAATTGAATATATATATCAAAAGAAAAGGCATCTTCAAAATAAATATTTACCTAGCTCAATGGCAAGCCTTTCGTTGATCGACAAGAGGTTCAATATCAACTAATGAATTTGAGACCAAAATATTTTTCAGTGAATATCATCCCTAAAAATAGAATTTAAAAGAGTTAAAATAATAAACTTAAACAATTATGTAAAATAATTGAAAAGATGATAATTCAATATAATAAACTTAATAAACCTGTAAATCTTAATCATAACCATAAAATTAGAGTGAACTAAAATTGCTTTATTTTATCATGCTTGAAGAAAATAAATTATTTAAATGTAAATCAAAATAGTACACTTGTTAACTGAAATCATTAAAATTTCAAATACATTTGTTAATTAAAACTTTAGAATTTTGAAGATTTAATAGAATAGGTAACAAACGTGAATACACAATTTACGAGGATAAAATAATCAAATGTAACTTATGCCACGAAGACAAACCTGAATATGTAGTCCACGAGGGTAACTAACTAGACGTAGCCAAAGCAATGAAACAGATGTGGACATATAGTTCATGAAGGTAACTAATCAAAGGTGATTGAAACCACGAAACAAACTCAAATACAAGACCCATGAAGAATAGATGTAAGAACAGAGCTTACCAAAATTAAATTGGTTAGTCGTTGACTGTGGCGCTCTAAAGGCTACCAGAATTTCGTTAGCAATAGTGTTATACTTAAAGTCCTCTAAAAATTACTTTTGAAATATGCGAGAAGAATTGTCATTTCTAAAATATAATTTGTATTCTCAATATCAAACTAGCATAAATAATTTCAAACTTCAATTTAGTACTTGTCAAAATAAAATTTTATAAATAACATCCTTTCTTGTGTTTATTTGGTAACCAAAATTTTTAAAGTTAGTCAAAATAATTTCATCAATCCTAAAAATATAATTCATAAGGAAAATATATGTACATGTCATATCTTAATTATTTCTTGTCACAACTGTGTGTGTATATATATATATATATTTTCATAGGATAAAATAATTTAATTAAAAAAATACCCAATACTTAACATAATTATTAATAATAATTAAAAATCATCTACATAAAATGTAATATTTTAATAAAAGAGATTTTATTAGTTGATCAATTGAGATGTTACTCACTTAATCTATATAGTGTTTATTTTCAAATAATTGGCATAAGTTTAGTCTTCAAATTAAACTATATAACGTTTCTTTTGAAGTGTCCACTATATATACCTTTAATATATATAATGGTTAAAAAATGTTATATGTTTGTTCTTGTAATATGCAGTACAAAAATATATAATTTGTGTCTTATTTAAAAATATTTTTTTCATCTTTTTTTGTAATTTTAAAGAATCAAAATTAATTTTTATTAATAATAGAGATGACATTGCATTATTTTTAAATTTTAAAAGAAAATATTATACTAAAAATTAGTTTTGAGTCCCATGCAAGTGCTTGAGACCTTGTGGGTCTGTTATGAATAGGCCTAGTGGATAATGGCTCAAATGCTTTATTCAATTGGGCTTGAGAAGGTGGAACATGAGGGCATGAATGTAATTGACAAAGGCTAAAGCAGAGCATTGAGCAGGCCATCAAAGATTTTGCTAAAGCTTGTTCCCTCAGTGTCTCCTTTCCCTCTGCCTGAATATTCTACTCTACTTCTTACCTGCATCTTTCTATTATTTGTTGTTGCTGCTTTAATTTGGTTGCAATTGGCTTGACTGAATATACCTTTGATCTAAGCTTTACGAATTGATGAATATTTTAAGTTGAATATCAGTTTCCTCCATTATATTCTGTAATTCTTGCTTAAGAACTGGTGATCATAACAGGGTTAATCGTGAATTAATGCTTTTAAAAAGTTCATTACTTTTCCAAAATCAAAAAGTGTATATACATATACATATATATATATATATATATATGAAGTGGACAAATCAAAAACCATCACCATGCCACTATGCATATTTCTTTTCCCACCAAAGTGGTTCCCTTATTGCACGATATTAATATAACATGTGGAACTTTTGAAAATTATATACAAAAGCAATTACGTGACAATCAAATTTTGTTTCATTAGTACTCTCATATCAAACCTTATCACAAGCAATAGTAATAATTCACTTCAATTGAGATAAAGTGACCCTTGATAATTCTCATCCCTTTTTTTTTTCCAATTCATCAATTTTTTATAAATATGTATATATATATATATATATATATATATAACCATCGATTATAAGAATACAAATGGACAATATATCATTAATTATATTCTTCGTACTTTTTTTTTTTCATTGTCAATATTCTTCATATCTTTTATCTCCTACAAACTGCATGCGCATGCAAATGAAATCACCTCAAAATGCTTTATTTATTCAGAAAAATATAAAACATATATAAAAAACTCTAATTAACCCTATTTTTGTGACCCGCATTTTCCCTCTCATATATGAACCATTGTTAACAATTATTTTTATTATTACAAAAGCAAATAACATAAATTTGATTAGACTCATACGAGGATCCATACAAGAACTCATAAATTTGATTAAACAAAGAAAACACACACATATATAACTCTATGCAGCAAGATATCATTATTCATTATTCTCCATACAAGGCGACATCAATAATGAGCCTTTAGCTCACATTATTGTGCACCCTGTGACGTTATCTTCGCTGACGTATTGACCACAACGGCTCACGTAGCAAGGTTGTCCTCCACCATAGCTATCATAAACAGGTCTAGCATAAAAATACCCTTCATAACATGGTGGAGGCCTACAACAACGCTCAAAGCATGGCCTACAAGGCCGACCGTCATGGCACGGAACACAACACGTTCTATCTGGAACTCGTGGCTTAGGCTCAAAGCAAGGGCCATCATGCCAGCATTCACAGCATGAATCACAACACGGTGGCGGCGGCGGAGGAGGCAGCGGAGGCGGAGGAGGAGGAGGAGGCGTCGGCGGCAGAGTTGGTGGCTTACATGGGACTTTTTCGATGCACTTAATGGCGCCACAACCTTTACGGCAAAGCTGATCCATAATCTTCTCTGGGCTACAGCACACCACTTTAATCGTCACAATGTTCTCCTTCTCATCGAATTTCTGGTCTTGAATTTCTCTTGTTCACAAACATCCAAAACCACACAAATGCGCAAGATGAACTCAATTTTGTGATTCCGAAGAATAATACGCATGCGAATTTCAAAAGTGAATAGTGAAGAAAAAAGAGGGGGGGGCGAGAGCTGTGAGTATTGAGGGAAACTTACGTGGGAATTTACAGAGAACATTCTTGACCTTCTTGTAGCATTTCACACACTGGAGATTAACATGGAGCTTCATTGTTGTCACCTAAACATATAATTACCAGAAGTAAGGAACAGAATCAGTATTGATATGATCGATATGATTCACTTGTATGATTAAACGGAAGAGATCATCAAAATGAGTATTTAGGAAGGAGATCAAATGGAATTGTATGTACCTTTTTAGTCATGGCTGAATGACGAGGAAATCGAGCTCAGATATGCGAGAGATGAAAATGATGCAAGAAGAGATTGAAAGTGACAATAACGGTAATGGTGTGGAAGAAAGCAAAGAAAGTAACGAAACATGAATGAGAAAGAAAGAGTAAGAAGGATTAGGCAGGCAATTGCTTAGGCTTCACTACAAGGTCCCCTGACCAATCATGTGCAAACAAGTGGCATAGAGTTGTTCATAGGATTGTTGTCATATGGAACTAGAAATCCGTGTGGGTGACCGTGCAATTGGCACCTTCGCACACCACGTCCCTCAGGCTTTGTTTAATTTTTTAAATTGTTATGTAATAATATGGTCTGAACATTTTTCAATTTAATATAATTTTGTCTTGTCATCAATGTTTGACTATATTGACCATTATTTGATTATTATGTGTAGTGCTGGTAGCCATGTTCCATATTTTAAAAATCTAAAAAAAAAAAACAAATAGATCTATGTAATCTTTTTATCGCAAACTCCTCTACGTCCACCTCCTCCTCCTTCTTCATCGCAACCTTCGTTACTAGAAATGAAAACACAGCAAAGCAAATAAAACCCCAACAACCGTAATTAATTGCGATTGTAACAAGCAATAAATCTTCATGCTGTGAAACTCGAAAACATTATATCATTATTTAGTGAACAAGTTTCATCTTTTAAATAAGAACCCAAATAAAAGTAGAAATGAAAAGGCCATCGAACAAGAAGAAATCAGAACCCAAATCGAATGAAGATTTAGAATAAGAAAAAATAAATCGAACAAGAAATAACGAAGGAAAAACCTAGATCTAGAATGCAACATGTAAGTCCAATTGAGAACGCTAGGCAAAAATAAGTCAGGAAAAAAATAAGAATGAAACTTCATATGAAATTAACAATAATTGATTCTAAGGACTTCTATTTAACAATTTAAATGCAAAATAAAAAACAAAAATAATAGATCTGGAAAAATCAAAGAAGCATCCTCATGAAGGAGATAAACTCGAACTAGTATCACACAGTTTGAAAAACCACATGTCTAAAACAAAAAACTACTAATTGTGGTTGCAAATCTGGGATATTAGTCTTCCATTTAATAATATAACCAAGGATGATGATGAGATAGAGTTGAGAGAGAGTGGCAGCTGTGAGATAGGGTACTACACAAACTAGACGATGGTATATGGAGCAGTGCATGCACAAAACGGAGGAGAAGGGACACATGTCACGTCGGAGACCACGGTTGGAGTTAATCTTGTGAGTGTTGAAGTGAGAGAGATGCTTGAATAAGAGATAATGTTATAAGTATGGAGTATTAAGGGAATGAAGTTGTGTGACAGGAAGAGAATGAGAGAGAGGTTTGAGTGTTGTGAAGGTGAAGTGTGGGGCATAGGTTTGAATGTGAGAAATGACAATGAGAGAGAGAAAGAGTATGTGTGCCATTAGATAAAAAAAATCACTGGTTCAAGGATAATGATATCATCAACTGTTTGTCATATAAAATGTGTATGTTTTTATTTTTTTTGAGTTAAAAAATTATATAATGGTTTTTTTAAATAACTGTTGTCTGGCCTTCGGAAAGAAGATTGAAAAAATGGGAGTCGCCACCAAAATTTTGAAGAAAATCTTGGGAAACCATTTAATGGTGGATAAGAGTGGTCTGCGAAAACAAAAAATAGGTTCAGGAATTAGTTGAGTGTGGGGAAGGTGTTAGGCACCCCACAACACCCGTTCGTCAGAACGGTTACTTGAAGTTTGTTGTGCTCTATTAATATAGTTTTATAATTATTTTAATTATTCTTTTTATATTCATGTGTTTAAAAAATGATAAAAATTAAGTGAAAAATATTTATTTATTTACGAGGGAGAACTTGACTCAAAATTTGACTTTGAGGCCTACATACCCTACGGTGAAGATTAAAGTTCACGTAGTTCGAGCTTTGAAAATTGTTGGTAAAAAACATTTTTTGAAGAGAAATTAATTAGAATTAATTCACCATTTTGCAGATAAAACAATTTCTGAAATTTTTGATATGTGTGTTTTAAATTGCAAAAAGGTGATAAAATTTTAACTATTTTCTCAATTTTTTAAATTTTTGGAATAAAGAAAAGAAAAGGGTTTAAACATTATTTTCATGTTTTATTAGTTTTTTTGAGAAAATTTAACTGCTATACCTGCAGAGTCTTATTAGCTCATACTATAATACAATTATTCCAAATATCTATGGAAATTTCAAAATCTCTCACGATAAAAGAGTGAAATAGTGTAAATATTTTAAGTATATTTTAATGTGTAATTATATAACTTATATTTCCGAACGTAGAAATCTTAATAGCTATACTTGCGAAGCCTTATTGACTTTCATGATAAGATGATCATTTTAGATTAACACACACACACATGTATGTATGTATATTTTTAAATGAGAAATAAGATTTAAGGAGAGAAGTTTAACTCGCAAAATTTGACTCTCAATATTTTTGAATGATTAGGATAATTTGAAGATAGATTTTAAAAGATTTAAAAAATATTTTTGATTTTGTTAAAATATAATCCTAAAAAGAATTAAATTTTATTTTTATATTTTTATATTTTTTGATTATTTATTATTATTTTATTAAATTAAAAAAAATGTCCGGACAAAATACGTGTTCACAACTACTATGTAGTCACCGACTACATAGTTGTTATTTAGAAAGAACTATTATATAGTCTATAGAAAAAAATTCAAAAAGAAAAGAGACGATATAATGGTTCTTTCAAAATAATCGCTATATAGTCTTGAAACTATATAGTGATTATTTTGAAAGAACCACTATATAATTTCTAAGGAACAAAAATTCTAAAAAATAGAGATTATATAATGGTTTTTTGAAATAACTGCTGTATAATTTCAAGATTATATAGTGGTTATTTTAAAAGAACCGCTATATAGTTTATAAGAAAAAAATTCTAAAAGAAAAGAGACTATATAGTAGTTTTTTAAATAACCGCTATATATATATATATATATATATAATTTCAAGATACTATATAGTGATTATTTTGAAAGAATCACTATATAGTCTAAAAAACATTAAAAAAAAAGAGAAAGATTATATAGCAGTTTGTTGAAATAACCGCTATATTGTTTTAATACTATATAATGGTTATTTTGAATAACTACCATATAGTCTCTTTTCTTGAATTCCTCCTCAATTAATATGGTGACTCTTTCAAGAACAACTATATAAATAATGCTATATAGCCATTTTTTTAATAGTGAAGACCCAATTTGTGCCTTAGTATTACACATTCCTTTGACTCTAATGTAGTCTGATGAGGATTATTTATGTTTTTATCATTGGTTTAAGCTAACAACAGTGTTCATGAGTATTAACGATGGATTTAGAGTTAATCCTAACTGTAATAAATCTAGATTATGCTAATTAAATTAGTCAGCATTGTTTATTAAGCTTAATGAGGGTTAAACATGTTAATAGAAGCGAGTTATGGGATTGGTTTTTGTTAATCATATTTAATGAAGGACTAAAGCCTTAACTATGATTAAGGATTAATTAAAAATGATTAGTCATTAATTATATTTTTTAATCCAATCTATAAATCAACTACTTTTGAAGCTTGTTAGGAAGCTCCGTTGGAATCTAAATTGTGCTCTTGGGGTGCTAAGCCTAATATTTGAGGTAACTAGAAGTTTAGTTTTAATATATAATAGTATTTACAATTTATGAGTTGATATATTTGTGGCATGAATTATGTGGCAATGAATTGAGAAAGTTCACTTGCATAGTTAAGTCAATGCCATGAGTTGTGATTCTTGAACATGTTGGAATGAGGTTATAATGGCTATGTCATGTGTTAAGTGATATCATGAGTATGGATTGAGAAGATTAATAATGAGCAAGTGATGATTTGAGTAGAGTAATTATGCATATCAATATATTTTGGGCCAAAAATATAGCATAATAAACTTGATATAAAGCAATAAGTTAAAAAAAATATTACATTTGGTGCTTCCACAATTCATGGAGATGGGCATTTTGGATGATACTTCTTGATATGAATGCTAATAATATTTGGTACCTCTAGAAGGATAGTGTTTCTAGTGCAGGAAGATCAATGTGAGACTCATTATTTTCATTCTCATTTGACACATAGTCTTCATGGTCATATTTTCCAAAAAACATGTTTCAATTCAGAAGGTCCATCAATATCTGTAGATTTTAGTTTTTGAATACCTTTAGAAAAAGTGGATGGAAATATAAATTCTAACTTATTGCAATTTGAGATTCGGCGCCTTTCTAAATTTGGGAAGCTAGAGCTACTGTTGAAGTTCTCATCATCTTTTCTTTCATTTGTTATCACGTGCTTCAACTCTTTATAGGCTTTAATGTCCAAGTCCTCCAACATGATTGTTATGGCAATGGATATACTAAACAATAACTTTAATTTTAAACAACCCTGAGGTGTCATATGTCTGATATGTTGTAGCTTCAATGGCTTACTCATAAGACATTTAGCTCCATGAAATATTTGAATTAATTCCATTAATGCGGGTAATTCATGCAAAGACACATTTTTCCCTTATATTCAACTCATAACTAATTTGTTAGTTAAAAAAAAACCCAACTAATTCAATCATCTAATTCTAGTACATTGAATTTAAGGGAAAAACATATATTAAATGAAAAGCAAATGTGTCAAGTATCAGGTGTTATATAAATTGTCACAAGTCATAGTTGGCATTTAAGATAAAAACATCAAATATAATGAAAATAATAATTACATGTTTCTGTTGCTCTTCTTTTCTAACTTCATTCACTTTCTGTTTATTAAATTTTCCTTGCAAGATTTTTCTTTTTAATCTATGTAACAAATCTTAGCTAACAATTTTCCTTTATCATAACATATAGTCAATTCTAGAATTATATTTTGTCCTTATTGAATTATTTTGTCCTTAAATGATTAGAGCTATAAGTTTAAAATAAATAAATAAGGGCGGGACTCATGTGCGCATAGTCTTAAAGATCCTTATGTCTTAGTGCTACAAGGTGTATTGATCTAGGTAAGGTCCCTTAACGCCTCTCCTGGGCAAACTTAG